GGGGGGATGAAGGAAGGCAGAGCCGGTGTCGTCTCGAAGGCCGGGAAGAAGAGGTGTTATCAGGGTGAGAAATTCACAAGGCCACGACTCGGTGAGAAAGAAATCTGGCGTCAAAGAAGGGGGAGTAGAGGGGGTAAAAGTAGAAGGAAAATTACACGGGCTTTAGTTTTAGCAATGCTTTGCTTAGAGCTGCATGTACCATCCAATAAAGGAGATTTTATCTGAACCAGGCCTGGTTTCATGAGAATTTTTCTGGATTGGGATTTGGACATTGTAGACTTGACACTAAATCTATACTACAGCAACTAGTGGATATACCCTGGGAGATTCTAGGGAGTGGCTATCCTGAAGCTCTTTCTTTCTTTCTTACACGCTCCTCTTGCAGGCTATATTGTCTCTTGTCTCCTTTCCCCTGCTGGAATGCAGCCCCTCCCTGCTGTTAGCTGTGATCTCTCACATCACTCTCCTCCCCGTAGATACATTCCATTACACTAGGTCAATTTAAGAGCTGTGGGTATGAATACCACAAAGGAAGTTTAATTCTCTCCCCACCCCACCCCCACTTCAACTAGTTAATAACAGGATGTCACTTTTTAAAAGAGGATGATATGCATATAGACCTGGCTATTCCTAATTTGATTACTTCAGAACTATACAACTCCATATAATAACTTTCAACAACTATATAAAGAACATGAATCTCTTGAGCAGCCCATTAAAAAAGACATTTGAAAATATCAGTCTAAATACTTACTCCCTTTTTTACTTGATTTGGTTTCTTCTTCATCACACAACTGACTTCTGTAAGAACACACATCCTATGAATTATATATATATCGTAGCATGATGAAATTAGCATTAACTATAATATCTGTAAAAGCATTAAACCACCTGAAGAATTTCCAATTTAACTTAAAGCATTAGAAAAAGTAATACAATATAGTATGGAATTTGATTTCAACATTTAGAAACAACTATAAGAAGCATCATTATAATCAAACCCATAAAAGAGGGGAGAGACAGCAGTACCATAGTGACAACAATTCAGGGAATCAAAAAATATCTTCATTTTTTCCCCCAAAGAACATAAAATACAATCAGCACTGGAAAAAAGGAATCCTTGGCACCTGCTTATAAATCAATCAATACACTTCCAAAGTTCTGTATTTCTCAATAAAAGAATTAAGCATAAAAAGGGAAATATGTTTCTCAAGAATGCCTACATAACAATTTCTCTTGAGGGAAAGTAAGATGACATTCTAAGTTGAATAAAATAATGGAATGTTTGTTATAAGTAAATTACCCTGAAGTTCTACAATAGTTTACCAACTGACACATTAAAGAAAAATAGAATAGTTTTTCAGAATTAGAGTTCTGTCTCAGCAGCCTTTTCTTTTAATGTCATAAACCTTGGGGGGTGCGCATTGTTATAATGGTGCTTCAACAGATGGCAATGCCTGGCCAGCCCTGGCTGATCTCAGAAGCCAAGTGGGAGTGGTCTGACACCAAGAAACCCCAGGACTATAGATGAGACTGGGAACCCCCATCTCAAACAAACAAACAAAAATCTGAAAGGAGGTCATGACAAACTGAGTTGGTAGCTTTGCCAAGAAAACTACACAGATGCAGTCACCAGGCATTGAGCTTGATTTGATATCTTGGCCTTTATTAATAATTCCTGTGCCATATTGCAGCAGGGGCAGGGAAATTAACCAGTGTGTTACTTTTTAAATAATTATGCAGGTCAAAATAGATACATCTTGTTTTTCAAAGGAAATTTTATTAACTATGGCATTAGGACTAGACTAAAGGGTACCTGATACATTAATGGTACATCAAACAATATATGCATTTAGCAAATATGAGAATGAAGTATTACTACCAGATCTGCATTTCTGGCTGATCACCATTTTTCTGCACTTTGTCAGAACAAGTAGAAATGATAACAGAATGGTAATGTGATAAAAACAATAGATTGCAACTACAGAGTACCTAGCTACTTTCATATGAGGAAGTAAAGGGAAAAGCTAAGAGAACTGAGAAAGAAAGAGGAGTGAGGCAGTTGATAAAAGGAGGGGAAAGGAAAAGAAAAGGAGATAATTAGTACATAGAAAAGATAAGACACTTGTCACCCTTGTAAAAAACCAGGCAGTCATTCTGTAAATAATCATGGAATTCTGTACCTCTAAACAGATAAACTTAGACCCCATATTATCTGGTCATACGATTTATTGCATAATACAATTTTAACTATTTATGAATAGTCCTCCAAATAAATGACAGCCAGAACATAATACTTCCCCATATTTAAGATGCAACTTAAGTTTGTCAGGAAAACAACTGACAAAAGAGAAGACAACCTCAGTATGGGAACTCTGAATATTTTGAGGTAATGGCAGAATTATGCCATTTCATACCAAGTAAACCCAGTTCTGTTACATGGGTCTTTTTACACAAATTATTCAGGTGTACAAGATTTAAGTATCAATGACATCCACATCTATCTTTGCTGAGACAGTAAATCTACAAACAGATCAGTCTTATGAATCAGATTCTGTATGGTAATCTAGGCTGCTGAAGGGAAAAATAAAAATCCACTGAAGATCTAAGTACTTCATTCTGTGTATAAACTATTAAAATTATGGTGACATTTCCAGCTCATAATAACCTCCTTCAGGGACAGGAGAAAATCGAATCCCCATATAACAGAGTAGAATAGAATTCTTTCTTAAGGTCAAAGGCCAGTAACCTGAATAGCCTACAAGCAATAAACTGTCCAGAAAATGTAATAAATAGATATTAACACTATAAAACAGATAACAGAGCATTCATCACCTATTACTAGACCTCTGTCTAGACACTTGCATGCAAACTGGTTTTGGGTCTCCAGAGGAAAGCCACCTTAAATATGTAACACGTTAAATACTGAGCTACCAAATAAATCTCATCACTCTTTAGTTACTTCAATAAAAACAGGAAAAAAGTTAAGATTCGGAAGCAAGAGAAAATTGAAAAAGAAATTAGAAGCATGTAGATATATTTGCTGGAACTGATAATGCAAACTAAGGAAATTAATATAATGTTTTATTCCACAGAAGTGTGTGGAAACTGAAGCAGCAAAACAGGATAACTAAAACATCCAGTCACCTTTGTTAGGTGCAGTGCCTGAAGTATTTATATTCTCCGAGTTGGCTAAAATAAGAGATAAAAAATACATATCACTAACTAAACAAACATCTGCATTTATACAAGACTGCAGCTGTGTTGATCCTAGAGCCAATCTACCAAATTCCCCCCCCCCCCCAAAAGCATATGGTTCTGATGTCTGGGAGTTGTACCATTTCAGAATGATGGAAGAAACAATTTAAGTTCCTCCATGTTACAGGAACATACCTGTGACAAGTTAGCATATCTTTGGTCTCCTACAGTAAGGGAGGTTTTGGTTTGTTTATTCATTTAAATTTTCCCCTTGAATACTGATATAGTTTAAACAGGGATGCACCATGTCAACTGAAAAGCAAGCATCAGGAATGAAGATCCAGAATACTCAAAGTGGAAAGGTATTCTGGCTGAATTGCAAAAATACTGAGCATGTATCCAGAACTGTGGCTCTATTATATGGTGCTACTCACCACATCCCCAAAGAAACACAGCTTCAAATAAGCCAGATGTTATTGGAAGAAACACAAATTGTTGAAAAACTTCTGTTCTAAAACATGTCTCAGTAATATATGTGTAGCAGTGATGTGCAAATCTGACTCACATGCATTTTCCAAATTCTAGTAATAGTAAGCTGTTGAGGGGTGGGCTAATTTTTATTATGAATTTGCTGACAAGTCGGCAAACATAATGTACTGTTTTCTCCAACCTGATACATCTTTAGACATTAAGAGATCTTTTCTTCTGGATTGTTTACCTAAAGAAGCTTGAGGTGATACACTAAGGTAATCGACACTTGGTCCATGTTCTGGATCTTCTAGAAATATAAAGAGTAAAAATATAAATATTAAGGACTAATTATTAATACAGTTCTAGATTCTTGACTCACATACAGTCAATGTGATTTTCTGTTTTCCCAATCAATCAACTCTATTCTCACCTATTTGAATTAAAGTCAGTCACGGTATGCAGAAAATTTATCTGGATCTGAACTGATTATAATAGGTAAATTTAAAGTATCTTTTTGTCAGACAGTGTGTCATATTTGTAGAAGTTTTCATGTGTGACAATAAATGGCATGGGTGACAAAGCAGCAAAAATTATCTAGTTTTTTGTAAGTACTTTTGTATAGGTTCTTAAAAGCAACATAAAGCTATCTGCTACTTATCAATCAATCAACCTTATAAAAATTAAGGGCACAAAGTCAACAGGATTTAGGAGTTTTACATTTTTCCTACATTCTGCCGCACATTTTAGAAATGAGGTTGCTAAACTATACCACTTTTGGTTTCTGGATTATTTTCTGAAGAATTCTGCTGTGGATTAATTGTTTTCTGTTGGGATGCTTCCCAATCAATAACCTACAAAAAAGAAAAACCAACAATTAGCGGTGTGAAGTCCAAAGAATTAGAATTAAAATTAAGCTAATCAGAATTAGTTTAGGTACAGACTAATTTTCATAGCTGAAGAATCATATTTAATATGAGTAATGAAGAAGCTTTGGTTTTAAGTTCCAGGTATTTATGGTAGTGCCAATAGTAGAGAATATATGTAGCTCA